AGGAATTGCATACTGAGGTAAATCTGGTCTATACTTGCCTCTAAGTCTGTTTAGTTCAATCAAACTTTCAATGCTCACCCTGATGGAATTTGGATTAAAAGCTACTAAATGCACACCAGAAAGTGATCTGACACGTGACAATGCTACATATGCCATACCATCAGCAAAAATTTTATCAGACAAATCAATGATAGCACAGTCCAAAGAGAGCCCTTGGCATTTATGGATCGTCATGGCAAAAGATAGTATTAAAGGGAACTGTGCTCTAAATACATGAAAACATTTCATTACACTAAATTTACGATTCACTTTCTCAACATCATAGGGTTCATTTCTGTTATCAAATTGTACTTTGACTCGTTTGGAAGTGATGGCCAATACAGTTCCTATGGCACCATTCACCAAGCCAGATGCTGTGTCAATATTACATCTCAACATAACTCTGGCTCCTACTGCAATTGTCAATTCACTCTCCAGTCCAGCAGTATTGTTGCAGTCTTCCTCTAGTTTCTTTAGAGCCCGTTTCGCTCTTTCGGTCCACTCACTAAAACCAGATGTTGCATCAATGACATCTACACATTTTATTGTGATTGTTGGGGATTTGAGTAAGCCTAACATTTCATCATTAAAATCCTTGCATCTTTTATGGTGGAAAAAAGACAAACAGGCGCCTTGTTCTGTCGTTGAAGTTCAATAAATTTTTTAGAGACAGGCCCTTGAAACACCCGTTGTTGAAGAACATGGATTGTGTTATCGGTGGGAAATCCACATCTGACACTGTCCAACATATTACAAAATTCAGCATCACTTTTTTGTCTCTCATTGATTGTGAGTTCGTCATAAACAATTACTTCTCTCCAGATGTTGATGGCAGTGGTGCTCCCAAGTTTATTGAGAATTGAATTTTGAGTCATGTTTTGGAAAACATGACCAGCATTAACAGGAGGCAACTGGAGTATGTCACCAACCAGAAGTACATTCTTACAACCAAAGTAGGCATCTGCCCCACTGAAAATCTCATCAAGTCGCAAATGCTTGTAAATGAGGTTCAGATTTGATACCATTGAAACCTCATCAATAATGATCAGCTTCAGATTGCGAAGTGAGGTCTTCATCACTTTGTGTACCTCTGCAGACAGAGCCCAATAATCAGCACCCCTACTGTTGTGTTCAACAGGTAATCGAAACAGTCTATGCATTGTGACTCCACCTACATTGAAGGCAGCCAAACCAGTGGGAGCAGCAATAGCACACTTTATGTCCTCAGTCTTCCAGAGACTGTCCACAAGAGCTTTAACAGCAGCTATAAGAAATGATTTTCCTGTTCCCCCTACACCACTAACAAACATACTGATTGGTCTAGTATCATTGCACAAACAACTGCCGCATTCATGATCAATCTGATGAAGTAGATGTTGCTTGATGTGGTTGAATACACGTCTCTGATCAGAATTTAGCATGGACTCTCTCTCTGCGAGACTCAGGCCAGAATTTTGGTTAAGATTAGCAACATCATGCATGGCAGATACTGCTTCACCACAAACCATGAGGCCATCATCTTCCAGCTCTTCAGGCTGTACCCGTGCAGCATCTCTAGCCTCATTAATTTCTCTAACCTTCAACCTAACTTGCAATGCTTGTTGTATTTTTTCATGATGGGAGGTTGCATCTTCATTGTCAGCCAGCAGACGGTCAAATGCTTCTTCTGCTGTTTCATTGTCTTGTAGGAGATCAGCCTCATCTCTGAAGGGAACAAAAAGGACTATAATTGAGTAGTAATATTTCTCTCGTTCATCTTCCTT